TTTTTACTGGCCATTACTGCTTTTATAATTTTTCCATAATGTGATTATAAGTTCATTTTAATTAGTAAAATAACACAAAAATAAACAAAATGTAGTAAAAAGCTCTACAAAAAATGATGTACTATTTTGATATTAATATTTTTAAATTAAATAAAAGTAACTACTCTGTCATCCAAGGGACTATTCCATTCAATTCTCCCCTATTTTCATAAAATGCATAAATTTATGTTCTCTGAAAATTGTTGGGCTTTATGTAATGTGAATGCTAAACCGATTCAAGGGACTTTGGAAACAGTTAATAAAATTCCGTGACGTTCTTTTGGCATATTTTAAGTTCCCCCTGCAGGAATGCCTCACTTAAAGTCAACAGCAAATGGCAGGACAAATGTTGACAAAGGAATGCAACAAATAACAAACAACAGCCGGTGAAGAGGTCCTTGACGAAAATGAGAGCGAACTGGGGTCGCCGTAGTTGAAAGGATGCAGCGGAGCAAATAGTGTGGGAGCGAGGACTAGGCCTAGTTTGCGATTTCGTCCTGAAACTGCAGCTGACCACAGGACGCGGCTAAGAGGGTACCGGCAGGAAAAAGCCGGGAAAAGCTGGGAAAAGCATATTCCCCTAGGTTACCGCGAGAGCCTTCTCCTCAGGCCAAGCCTCTTGAGAAATAACGCTTAGCCTCTGCTCTTGCTTTATATTTTTCTGGCATTTTGCTCGGAGTTTCCCCACTTTTCTACCCAGTTATTTTCCCTTCATTTTTGTTTTTAGCTGAGTAAAGTCTATTATGCTTGCGAAAATTGCTTTACAGCTGCAAAACAATGCGGCAAAAAAGGTTACACAGCACAAAAAGAAATACACACTAAAATGAATAATGACAGCGAACTGGAGGGAATGGTCTAGAGATTACTTTTAACTCCGTTTGCTTTTCAGTTTGTAATATGAAAAAAGCTGAATACCCTTTCTGAAGCTAAATAAAAATATTTGCCATGCTTGCAACTTTGTGAATGGAACTTAACTTTCCAGTAAAATCAAAGAAATAAAAAAATAAATAAGTATACCAGCAAGCTTATTAGTTTGTTACCACCCTTACTTAAAGATATCCTTGGAATACATTGTCTTTTTTATTTTCGCGGATTATAGCACTCTCTCAGACATAATCACCGATCCCCCCGAGTGAGGGTATTAAAAGGGAATTTACTATCAAAGTCTCCGGACAGCAGCAGTGAAATAATATTTGCCCCAACCTCAGGGGGAAGGAAATCGGTTGGGGAAGTGCAGCTAAAATAATTTGCGCATAATGAAGCCGGAAGTGTGAATGCAAAGAATACAAGGAAAGTGAAGGAAAGTGGAGGAAAGAACTTCATTATCTGCGCCAAGCAGCTCTTCCAGCAAGAAGAAGATGAAGTCGAGGCATTCAAGCAGGGAAAATTACACAAAAATCTTTGCCGGGATTTTCTAATTAAAGTTTCAGCAAACGAAACGAAACGCGGCGCCAAAGTGAAATTAATGGCTCTGCCATTTTTGGCCAGACCGGGTTTTACCCATTTCCCCCTATTTGCTTGTGTGTGAGTGTATTTGGCTTTATGAAGTCAACGATAGCAGCATTTTCGGCCACTTAATCTGTTCCCTCACTCGAACTCGGCTTTTTCCGCTCCTCTGCCCCGACGCCTCGGTGTGTGCGTAATTTATTTGCAATCAATGCGGCCCTAAAGGACATTATTTTTACATTAAAGGAAGGGCTAAGAGTGTGTGCGAGTGAGAGAGAGAGAGAGATAGAGAGAGAAAAAGAGAGAGAAAACACCAAAAACCAGGCCAAAAAAATACGTGCCAAAAAACAAGTTAGCTACCATTTGGCAGCTGTCACATAATACATCTCACACCGTGCAGGCATAAATAATGCGGTAGACTTATAGACTTCTAATAGGAACAGATTACTTTAAGTTAGGTCGGCTAAATAAGCCTGTAGGATTTTAGTGGTGGGATGTTCTATTGTTAGGTACAATTATTTGTATATATTTCTTTCTTTGGAATGTATTTTGGTTTTATTTTTAGTTAAGTTAGAATATTATATAGGAATAGTATAAGTATGACTTACATATTTCTTACAAAAATATATATGTAGTTAAATTTGAATATCTTTTTTATAACAATAATATTTATTTAGGTATATTCAATTTTTTTTTAAAAATATATTTTTTGGTGTTATTATCGAATGTTTTGTAAAATAGGTAATATTTTCTGTTTTGGTCGAGAACTAGCCTTCTTGAAGTCCCAGCAGACATAACCTCGTTTTGGCTAACACATCTTCCTGTTAAAATATCTAGTACAACAGGTATCATATTTAATATCTATTTTAATATCTATTATAATATATATTTTAATACCAATAATAATATATATTATAATATATATTTCAATACCACTTATATATCTATTATAATATTTATTATAATATCTAAGTACTTCAAATTGGTCTTTACATTGCCTACCATTCTTATAAAATTATTTTTCTGTAGCTTTGATTTGAGTGTATGCTATGAGAATACATTATCTGTGTGGAGCTGGATAAACTATTCGTGGGATTCATCTGTGACACGTGAGACGTCACATTTGTGTGTTTGTCATAACGCCCGTTAATGTTAGTTTCATTAGGCGGGCCACCCAACTTTCCCCCCCTCCTGTAACAGCGGCCATTGCTCCATGTTTTTGCTTGTGTCAGATAGAACTGACAAACTCCGTGGAAAGTTTCTCGAACCCCGGGCACGTATCGTGTGTCATAAGCAGGGAAAGCGGCTTCTGGCTTTCGGGAGCGGCAACTGCAGTGTCCGCTGCAGTTGTTCAGTTGGAAATAAAATTATTAACCCCGCTGCAATGCAACATAAATAGGATTAGTGTCTGCAGCAACTGCGCAGGGAGAACAAACACGACTTGGTCTTGGATGGCTAGACCGAAGGAGTCGAGGCAGCCGGAGAAAGGCCACAACAAAGGCAGCCCAGCAGCGTTTGCATTTGCATGTTGCATACTTCACGGCGCAGTGCTCACATATGATAAACGGCAACGACAATACCACAACCACATACCCATATACCAGCACACTCATAGCCGTAGCTGTATCTGTGTCTGGAATTGTATCTATGTGTTTGTGTGTCTGCGGGTATTTCCCTTTTTTCAGCATTTCGCTTCATACGTTCGTTTTGCCTTCGCCTTTGTTTTGGCCGGGCAAAAATGCAGCTGAGTATTTTTCAGCTACATGCAAAAACTTCATTTCATTTCTGCGGCTGTCGTCCAGTGTATTGACCCCTAAACGCCCTCCACATCCACACTTACCCACTCCCACAGTTGCAATCCAAACATTAGTGACAAAGCCATTCCATTTTGTTCACCCCCCGCAACCATTTCGACACCATCGCGGTTTTTGCAAGCATTTTGTTTGCTTTGTGGCTTCCGGTTTCTGTTACTGCCACTGTTACTATTACTCCTTTCGCTTCTGTTGCTCGAAAGCCGGCTTTAAAAATTCGCAATCCTGCCCGAAAGTCAACTGCTCTCAGAGCAATTGAGTATTTACCCAACTCAACGTAATTTAAATATGCATGCGACATTGCCTCATAATTAAGCCATCAATGGTTTGACGTGTGCCCTACAGGTATTTGCAACAGTGCCACTTGAAATCGATCCCGGTACTCGGATTCCCATGAAATGCCAACGGCAAGTCAACGCGACGAATTCCAGTACGAAATCAGAGGAGAACGGCCTGTCATAAAATAAATTATTTGCATTTTTCAAGCGCACTTAAATACAATACACTTTTCGCATTGTTCCTCGCATTCTCTATTAAAACCCAATTAAATCCGCTTGTAATTTAATTATTACATATTTTAATATTTTTGTTTCAGAACAAATTGTTTTATTATCAGATTAATTACATTCTATAATATTTTGTTTTTTTAATTATTTATAATGAACCAAATTTTCTGGATATTTTACTTAAATCTTTGGGGTTCATAAACCATTTAATTTCTTTTCTATTTGTTTTCATAAATTTAAGTACCCCATGTTATTTTTTTTGGCACTTTCTTTCTTTTAATTTCTTTTATAATCTTAAGTAACACTACACCAGACTCTGCTGAAATTGCCACACGAAAGAGCGACCGAGATAGGAACTCGCCAGCCTTGCGGTTTTGGGCTTGAAAAATTAACGCGGAAATGCCAAAATGTTGTTCATACGCCCCGTTGCTTGCATGCAAATTTCATATATTAGGCCAGGGGTGTCGCGTAGAGGGGGGTGAAAAAAGGGGTATGTTGTGTTTGGCTTGCATGGTCGCCGGCCGTAATTGCAACATGCCGCACAAGCACACACACGCCGCGCAGTGGGCGACTTGGGACTTTAGCCAAGTCAAACAAACCGCGGGGCACAACCAAAAACAAAAAAAAAAAATATGAAAAAAAAACAGAAAACGAAGGAAAGCCAAATTTCTAGTTGTGCAACAGTGAGGCATGGAAGAGGGGGGAAATGGTGCGCCCATGGAACTCCTGGCAGGGTGTTGTTATGACTTAATGTGGCCTACGCGAGTGGCGGTTGAGAAAGATGCACTCGAAGAAAAGTTACAACATTATTTAACAATTCTATATTTTTTCTCCTGTGTCTAAAAGTATAGGTAGGTAATGGATAAATTTAAAATTTAATGTTGCATACTTTTAGACACGTTCAATTACATTAAAAAGAGATTTCAACACCCTAGTGATCCATAGTTATTCAAAAAAGGTAATAACAATTTGGAGTTCTACTAAGAAAGTATTTATAATTTCCTTTAAGGACTTCCTTACTAATAGTTAATAAGAGGAATTTGTTGTTCCTAACTTGCTTTACACTCACTTATTTCTTTCGGTGCATTAAACATAATACATAAGGACCCTTCCTGTAGTCCATTAAACTGTCCGCAGTTCCAAGTTTACGACAGCCGCACTGACCATTCCCCATTTTCCACTTTCTGGCTCTTTGCAGGCCTGATCCTCATCCGGAATCATTCTAGTTCGAGTATGCGATGGCAGCGGGAAGAGCAGCCGCGACGCTGGAGGCTCCGGGTCCGCCCAGTGGTCAGGACATAGCCAGCGACAACAGCGCCCAGAGCCGCACGCTGGCCACGAAGGTGCGGCGAAAAGGGCCACGCCCCCAGCGGCGCCTGCACCCGCCCCTGCGATCCCGCCCGCCGCTCCACCAGCCGCTCCACCAGCCGCTCCAGCGGCCCCACCTGCTCCACCTGCTGCTGTGGCTGCTGTGCTGCTGCTGCCAACTGGGCCAGCTGAGGGCCGAGTGCCCGGCGGTGTGCGAGTGCAAGTGGAAGAGCGGCAAGGAGTCCGTCTTGTGCCTTAACGCCAACCTTACCCACATCCCCGAGCCGCTGGACGGGGGCACCCAGCTCCTGGACCTTAGTGGCAATGAGATTCAATCGATACCCGACGATAGCTTCGCGAAGGCCCAGTTGCTCAATCTGCAGAAGGTGTACTTGGCCAGGTGTCACCTGCGTCTGATCGAACGGCATGCCTTCCGCAAGCTAATTAACCTGGTGGAGCTGGATCTCAGTCAGAACCTGCTTTCGGCCATACCCTCGCTGGCCCTCTACCATGTCTCAGAACTCAGAGAACTCCGACTGAGTGGCAATCCCATACTGAGAGTACCGGACGATGCTTTCGGCCATGTGCCACAACTGGTCAAGCTGGAGCTGAGCGACTGCCGGCTGTCGCACATTGCGGTGCGGGCCTTTGCCGGACTGGAGAGCAGTCTGGAGTGGCTGAAGCTGGACGGGAATCGGCTGAGCGAGGTGAGGAGTGGCACCATCACCTCGCTGGCCTCGCTCCATGGCCTGGAGTTGGCCCGCAATGCCTGGAATTGCAGCTGCTCCTTGCGACCGCTGAGATCCTGGATGCTGCAGCAGAATATACCGAGTGGCATACCGCCCACGTGCGAATCGCCGCCGCGATTGTCTGGCCGAGCTTGGGACAAACTGGATGTGGATGACTTCGCCTGCGTACCGCAAATTGTGGCCACAGACACCACAGCCCATGGGGTGGAGGGCAGGAACATAACCATGAGCTGTTATGTGGAGGGTGTACCCCAACCGGCGGTTAAGTGGTTGCTGAAGAACCGCCTGATAGCCAATCTAAGTGCTGGCGGGGATGGGGACTCCGATTCGGAGCCCAGGACGGCGGCAGCCACGCAGGGCAGGAAGACGTATGTGGTTAATATGCTGAGGAATGCCTCGAACCTCACCATTCTCACGGCCGACATGCAGGATGCGGGGATCTATACGTGTGCGGCGGAGAATAAGGCTGGCAAAGTGGAGGCCAGTGTTACATTGGCCGTGTCCCGACGACCTCCGGAAGCGCCGTGGGGCGTGAGGATTATACTGCTGGGTGTTATAGCCGCCCTGCTCCTGGTTGGCGGATCCTCCTTTGCGGCCATTTGTCTGTGCTCTCTGCAGAGGCGGCGAAAGCTGCGTCTGTGGAACTCTGTGCCGCCGGTGAGGAGGAGTGAAAGCTACGAGAAGATCGAGATGACGGCCAGGACGAGACCGGATCTGGGTGGTGGGGCCAGTTGTGGGGGAGGCAGTGCCACGGGCGCCGGCCTCTTCCACGATGCCGAGGAGCAGGGCTATCTGCGGGCAGCCACCCACACCCCCCTGACCGACAATGATGCTGGACAGGCGGCTGCCATCGTGAATCCGAGTGCGGGAAGTGCCCAGCGGAGAAACGGGGACTACCTGCACGTTTCCACCCACTGCGACGATGAGGAGGAGGAGCAGCAGCAGCAGCAGATGCACCACCACCCTCAGCACCACCCACATCCACATCCCAATCAGCAGCAGCAGAGGAAAGGCTCCCAGGGCCATGTTGCCTCCGCATCCGGGACGAATAATTCAGCACCGCTGGAGGAAACGGATCTGCACATACCGCGCCTCATCGACATCGGCGGGTGAGTTGACCTACACGGGGAGAAACAATTAAGGGGATTATTGCCTAATTGTGTCTTAATTTTAAACTAAATACTTATAAAATATAAATAGCAAATTTAAAATTTAATGGATACGCTTATCGTAATTAATAGGTGAAGAGGTACCCTTTTTATTTATTTTATTACTTCACATATTTTGTTTTGCATATTTGATTGGGGTCCCAGTTTTGGTTCTATTATAACCCTTAAAACCCTTTCCTTATCTATTTTATTTTAATTTGAAATAAAATTTTCATAGCTCTTGTTTTCTTGACAAACACTTTTATTTTGCTCAGTGCATGCCTGGGGTGCCCTTTGTTTCTGCGGTTCTCGTTACTTCGAGTGGCAATTGTCCCCCGAACCGGGCGTCCGTGTCCCTGTCAAAGAGCTGTCATGCTCGAGTGCGGAACGCGCCCGGATCTCCGTATTGCGTCCGTATTATGGGCAACACTTGACACTTCCACTCTGAGCTCGAGCCCCTTCTCCAAAGGGCCCCATGCCCAGCCTCAGAAACCACCACCAACCTCCATCTCCGTCGACTAAAAGAACGCGCGTGCTAATGACGCGCGAAATATGCGAGCACATCCACATACAACCTACCACATCCACACCCACATCTACTTTCTCTTCCACATCCAACCTACGAGACCGCATCCACGAGCCCGAGAAGTGTTTTATTTCGGGCACACTGAGAACTCACTCTGCCTGATTGGCGCTTGTCATGTGAAAGGAATCCTGGCGCGGATACGAGTGGCAGTGCGGGTTAATGGATGTGCGGCCGGTTATCTTCATGGACGAGGACACTGCCGAATAACGAGAATCTGAAAAGTCGAGCACTCAACGAATATAGGATACCGAGGGTGCAAGAACAAAGGATGAGGGATTTTTTTTGTAACGGACAATGACAAAGAATATTTTCGGTTTATGCTCTTAAGATTTTAGTCATTAATTAATTCGTTATTTTAAATTTATCAATATTTGGAAAGTCACATATCTTAATATCTATACAGACAAGCTATTAATATCCAACATTATAAGGACAGGGATATAAAATTGTTTATATTAGCAACACAAGAACCGCATTTCTTGAAGACTATTATTTTGAATAAGTACTTTTATTATAATAATAAATAAATCCAATTTCATTTACTTTCCTTTTCCTAGAACCGATTCCGCTTCGAGTTCGATCTCCAGCCAGGTAGATGCCGCTGCCCGCTTAGCGGGCTATGCCGGCCACACCTGGAAGACCACGCCCATTGCCACCACCAAGATCAATTCGCCCCACAGCAACCCAGCTGTCTCATCGGCATCCTCGTCCCTGAATGCCCAGGGCACGGGCTCGAGCACGGCCACGCCCTACGCCCACTACGGCAATCATCCGGCGGATGAGATGGCCACCTCGGTGTTCTGCAGCGAGGGCCAGGAAAGCGACCTGTTCGACAGCAACTACCCAGATCTGCTGGACATAGCCAAGTATGCGGTGGCCCAGGCCCAGCAGCAGGAAAGTCGGGGGCAGGGCTACGGCCAGGCCACGCCCGCTCCCAACGGCGGTCTGTGCACCCTGCCCCGGAAGCTGAAGACCAGTGGGAAATACTTCCGCAACTCCTCGGACAGTCAGTCACCGCTGCTGGCGGACAATTCCAGTAAGTACGGCAGTAGCACCCTGGGCGATGGGAGCTTTCTCAACGAGGCCATGGGCCTGGGCAGAAGATATTCGGCGGAGTCTAGTTATGCGAACTATTCAAGCACGGCCACCTACACGGGCGGTGGCCAGAGGGCCAATAGTTTCCTCAACCTGGTGCAAAGTGGCGCCCACAAGGGCAATCTGCTGTCGGGTCATCTGGGTCAGAAGCCCAGTCTGCCCTCTAGTCCCGTGCAACATCAGCGATCCCTATCGAGTGCGGCCACGCCCCTGCTGGACTTCTCGGCCTTGGCTTCGAGGGCGGCTGGAGCTGCCAACTCTTCGGTGGCAGCCTATGACTATCATGCCGCTCAGCTGGAGCGATTCCTTGAGGAGTACCGCAACCTACAGGATCAGCTGTGCAAGATGAAGGAGACCTGCGACACGATCCGGAAAAAGGAAACCCCCCTGCGAGTGGCCATCGGCCAGTCGGCTGCCCAGTTGGCGGACCCCGTGATGTACAGTGCAGCCTCGCACAGTCCGAAACCACAGGCGACCAGCAATCTAAAGACGAAGACCCTGCTGCCAGGACAACCGCCGGATCCACCGCCCTACTGGCTGCACCGCAACGCCATGCTGAAGCGGTTGAACGGGGATGGGAGTGGCGGTACGAATGGTGGCTCCGGAATGGGTTCCCCATCGCCCGCCTCCCCGCAGCCCGGACAGGATATTTTCAAGAGCTAATCGCAATCGTGTACAGCCGGAGGATTAAGTGAGGGGGCAGGAGGAAGATCGTGAGCCTTCGGAACGCCGAAGATGGCTTGAGCTTGCAGGAATTTTAAAAAGGGTCTATAAACAGTAGTAACAAGTGAAAATGTAATTTGAATTTTTTTAAAACATAGAAAGTTGTCCTTTTCCAAGTTCTTGATAAAAACATTTTAAATATTTGAAAACCTATTTGTAATTATTGCAATATCTAAATGCATATCAAAAAAAAATATAATTTATGAATAATTTGTGCACACCTTCTAAAAATTGTATTATGGTCAAATACTTTGGATTTATAATATGAGGTTTTAAAAAGTTTTATTGGCATCTTATTATATTTTATAAGTTTAGACCACTCATAAATTTATTTGAATTTTAAGAAGACTTAAACCAAAACTTAAAAGTTCTTAGAACACACATTTAAATAAATATAAAAGACCATTTAAGCCTAATCCCTGCAAGCTCTCGCCCGTCGATAAAATGCATTTGTCTGGATAGTTAGTTAGGCCTAGGTAGCTGGAGGACATTCAACTGGTTCGATACCCAGCCCCTCTGTTGTATTATAGAAACACTTTTCCACTCTTTATACTCGCTACTATGCAATATTAAACACGATCCCGAATACAAACGGAATACAAACAAACATAAGACATTGTAAGTGTATAGACAGCATTCCCCTAGAAGAAAGACACTATCTCTAAAAACACACCTAACGGAACCTAATCCTAGAACCCCCAGAAAGCTCTCGTGTTAGTCTAACTACAAGTGTTTTTGTACTTTAAGCGATCTCAATATAAACAAGGATAATATAGATGACCTTAAATATCATAAGTATGAGTTGGCACAGACTGCAGATCGATAGATTGATTGATATTGTTTGATTGTTAGATGTTTGTTTTTCAGTTTCGCAGTTCAGGTCACAAATTGTAAGCCAATTAGATCCAGACTCTAAATTGTAATTTAAAAAGAAAAACGATAAAGAAAAAAACCAAAAACGTATTTTAGGGTGTCACTAAACTAAAGCTCGAAAGCATTTCACCCAAACCAACAAGAGAAAGCAAAAATAAAATTAGTTGAGAATTGAAAGAAAAACAAAGAAAGTAAGAGAGCGAGTTTTACTGGATCGAATGGGTTAATCGAGGGGCGTGCAAATGTCCACTTCCGGGGGTTAGAGGCAAGTAATTGTCGCTTTTCGTGCCGCACTCGCTTTTTGCGGGGGCGTTGGTCAAGATTAAACAATAATTTTGTTCCAAAAAAAAACAAGGTGGGAGTGGGCGTGGCATGGACTTCCCCTATATAGCGAAACTACGCCAATTTGGTTCAGCACTCATTTCTTTTATTTTCGCCTCGCATTCCGGCTGCCAAATGAAGTTGTAAAATGCAAATGAAGCCGTCGCCGTAGTCACATGCGCGTTAAAGTTCATGTTCGATGTGATGTCGCCATAAAGCAGGATTAAAACGAATTTATGAACCTTTGGCACGACGACAACGACGACATGATAGCCGCTTTATACCACTCCCCACACCATATCCTTCGCACTGAAACACACACACACACAATGTCGCACATGACTTTGTCTTTGGCCCGCAGGCATTTGAATGAAAAACGTTGCCTACTTTTCCGGGAAACATTGTGTAAAATGGAAATCGCCCAGGCAATCCTGAATCTGCTACAATCCTCCTGTGGCCTCGGTCATCAATAGCTCATTTGGGCCTTGTGCTCATAAGCTCATAAATATTTAAGGCTCGTCTTAAACATGCGTAAGTTGTAAATATTTTAAGATCGGAACCGAGTAATCGCATACACTTTGTAAGTATAGGTTTCTTTTTTTCATTTTTGATAGAAAGAAAGATGATATGCAAATATTCTGAATTTTTGATAACAATTTTATATAATTCCACGTTGTCCTACTTAAATAATACTTAGATTTAAGTTTTCCCAAATTATGATTCTTTGAAAACAATAGCTTAGAATGGAATATTAGGAATACCATTTTGCATTTATTTTAAGTAGGAAATAATATTCATTAATAAATAAATTATTTACAAATTTGATAGATAAAAATTATAATACTTTTTACTGAATATGGAAATGGTTTAAAATTGTCAAACTGCTTTAATACCCTTAATACATACCCAGCTTTGGCAAACCTTTTATCGGCTAATTTCCTTCTGTGATCTCAATTTCGTTCCGTTCGCCTTGATTTATACGTGAATAACATGTAATTAAGCTATGACTGGCTGATAAAACCCTGGGCTGGCTGGCAGGCTTATGAATTTCGAGCACGCAGACGTGTCAGAAGGCAAAAGTAACCGAAAATGGTTGGCCATTAAAGCGGACTCCATCTGCCGAAGGGCGAGTTGGTTACTTGAAGTTACTTACTGCGGACCAGGCCCAGATCCACGGTTAGCCCTTTGCGGTTTGTCGGCTTTAAAGGGCGAAGCCATTTACATTTCCCCTTGCTTTCTTTTCCTTTTCGGGCCACCCACCTGACCGCCTGCTGTCCGGCTAAAGCGAAAATAATGAGCCAACATCAGGGATCTCGGCGTGAGGCAGAGTAAAGAGCAACAACGTCGAGAGCAGTCGAGTTCATGTCAAGCTGTCAGTCAAGGTCGATTTTGTTTCCCACCCACTGCCACTCCCCCCACATTCCCGTTATCCTGGCCTGCACCTGCCTCTGTCAGTGGCAGAAATTGCGAGAAAGGTGGGCGGCAGTGGGTGGAAGGTCGGCAAGTGCCCTTTTGTCACTGTCTTGCGGCTGCCAGTGCAATTTTTATATGTGGCCAGCGCAGGGTATGAGGGATGTATACGTGACCTGGTGTTTTTAAATGTGCCCAGGTACATGGAATATTATAAAATACTACACACTGAAAATTAAATACTATATATTTTGGTATTTATTTAACGGAATGTAGTATAAAGATTTTTTTATAATTTAAGGATGCCAGAATTATTATTTTAAGCACTGTAAATGAGGCTATCCATTAAACAAGAAGTCGATTAATATTTTTCTATAAGCTATAAGTTATTTTAATCTAAATTAAAAAATTTAATATGTAAAAATCTTAAGTATAGACGTAAATTTTTGACTAGTGTAAGACTGGCAGTGTAAGCTTTATATTCCCTTTGAGTTTTCGGCAAGGCGACGAAGGACCTTTGAGCTGAGTACCAACTAGTTGACTCCCCTGGTTGATAAGGCGATGAGCGGAGCTAACGGAGCAATGTATGTTATGTGTGTGTGCCCAGGGAATTTTTCCATCATTATCAGTGTCCTTGTAGCCGCTTCCACATGCCACTTAATGCCAACGCACCAGCAGAGCCAGCACTCGCCCCACTTTTGCATGTCGTCGTCGTCGTCGTCGTCATCTTGGCGGCCTTTGTGGTAGCAACTCGCAACTGCATACTATCCTACCAGCATTCACCACCCACCATATACCACCCACCTCCCAACCTACCCCCAATGCCATTCTTCAAGCCTCCCACAACGGCCATTATATTCAAGCATTTTCGTGGCATAAGTTGGCACTTTAGCGTCAGGCAGCTGCTACCTGTTTCAGTTTTTCAGCTCTCTCGTATTTTTTTTTTGTGCTGCTGCTTTGTTTATTTTTAGTCAGCATCAATTCAAAGTGTGGCCAATTTTTTAGGCAGCAAAGAAACAATTCGTAGTACGGGTATCGATTGGTCTTGAAAGCCACAAAATGCCAATTGATGGCATTGAGACGGAGATGAATATTTCTTATTACACGGGAAAAATATGTTTCAAACCAAAAAGTAGGATTTCATAAAGAAATATCTGAAGTTTGAATTTCCACAGCTTGCATAAAATCTCAAAAACCAAAATTTCAACAGACGCCGTCAAAGTAAAAATCATTTAAATTGACACATATTATATTATAAAGGAATCTGTTTTTTTGAATATAATTTTTTTTCCATGGTTTTTCTCCCGGCTGGCATTTATTTTTCAATTGGCCACATTGGCAATCGATATGGTAGGAGCAGGAAACAGGATGCAGCCGCCTGCTTAATGTGCTGCTGCCTGTTCAACTTTCCCAGCCCATTCCATCCCATTGCTGTCGTCCTTTTTAATGGATGTTGCATTACTTTCCGAGGCAGCTGTACGAACAAAAAACTTTTCCAGTGGCGAAAATTGAAAAATAGTTTCGCCCCTCCCGTTTCGCAAACGAAACACAAGCGAGCTTGGCCAAAGTTACGCCCGAAAAGTTAATGGCAATTGCATTTATTGATTAGCCCGCCAGGAGCGGGATGGGATATATATCAAGTTTACCCTTAAATGCCACTTTTATTTAATTTTCCTGTTTGGCTAAGCCAACCGATATTGTCCTCTCGACCGCAAAAGTTCAACAAGTCAACGCCTCAATGTCAAATAATCCTTCGCAGCAAAAAGAAACTCGGGGTCAGGATGGTGTGTATATAGGGGGTATCACTGGGGCATATTCAATGCGCCTGCGGCTAAGAGGGCGCAAGGACACCGGTGACATAAAGCGAACTCAAGCTGCAGTGTCAGTGCCACGCCCCCTATTCCCCCACGAGCCGCCCCCTTAAGTGCTGGTAATGAGCGCACTGATAATTCATTAAACAAAGCGGGGCGCAAAGAGAGGACGACGACGGCCCGAAAAAGAGTGAAAAACTGGTGGAAAAATGTCAAGGATAATGTGCCAGAGCTCAGCTGCCGGAAATGAAATGGTAGGACGATTTCAGCTTTAATTTTTTGTTTACAGCTGCCTAAATTCATTTGGAAATGGCGGAGATATTTTAATTGCTTTAAAATGTCAATTAAATGGGGACTTTGGAAATTGAGGGTTTTATTTATAGCAATATTTGGATACTCTGGGGATTCAATATGTTTGTTATGCAAAATGTTCAAAGGAGACTAAAAAAGTAAATAAAACAAAATTTGGGGATCTCGAACCATAATTAATGGAGCAAATACAAGCAGATATTCAGAAATATAATTTTAAAAACATTTTTAACCATGCTTGCTGTAAATACAATACCAATTTAAAATTTGTTAATATTTTACGGCCAATACAGACTCAAATTTAAATTTAATTGCAGATCAAAGCCTGGGAAGTATTTGTGGGTATCAATAGCATGTTGTCCCAACTTTCAGAATGCTTTCACGAAGTTTATAGAGAGTGTTTGGAAGACAGGGGAACCTGCAAAAATTCCAGAATAAATTCCTTTAACGCTCCCCGGAATTCGCTTCTTCGAGCCAATCTAGGCCAATACAGACCACACCTGGCGACTGTCACTCAGGGCCAAAAGCCAGGGAAACCAGGCTAAGCTCTCCGTGGTGCCAATTCCCCAATGCTGGGCAATTACAAAGGCCGAAACGAAAGCCGGGGGCCACTTTAATGAAAACTTTGGCCTGGCGCTTAGCGGTTTTGGCCAAGTTGCAGCGGGTAATCAGCCATGTTATGGCAGTACCCAGTCCACAGTCCACAGTCCCCAGTCCGCAGCCTCAATGGCTGGAGATTCGAGCTTATGGCTTATGGCTTATGGCCTTGCAGTGCACTTGAAATTTGTTGTTTGCCAGCAACAGGATAATCTGACGGGCATCCTTTTCTCTGGCCTCCTTTATTTTTTTTTTTCATGTGGCTCTATCTGGGCGCTGTTGTGTGTGTTTGTATTGGTTTCGTCGCCTCCGTTTGTTTGAGTTCCGCCGAAAACAAAAAAGCTTAAATTGTGGCCCCCGAAAAACTTTGTGGCACGTTTTTGTTGGCCGCAGTTATTCGCCGCTTTTGTTTGTGGCCAGCTGCTCTCGGCCGGCTTTGTTGGCCAGCTATTCCGGTGCCACTTTAATTAAGCCAGCCGAGTTGAATGCCAGCTCTCCTCGAAAAGTGTCAATCAGAGGCGGTATCAAGATTGCACTCTTCACAACACTTTTGGCCAGCGAAAAACTATATATCCCCTCCATTCAACTAATAACACAAAGAGGGGTAGGGAGCTAGTAGAATGCAATTGTTACGCTTGAAATTCATTTGAATATTCTGGGCACAGTGTGTGCATTTAAATTGAATTTTATGAAATTGTTGCGAAAGCAAAAGGCGAAAAAATGCCGGCCACATCAGTGAGCACGACCAT